AGGCAAGACAGTGGCTCTGGCCCCCATTGGCTCACTACACCATTGTTGGATTGAATGTGGACACCAGAACAGTACTCTGCAGCTCAGAACTCAAGCCATTCTACTTTAGGATAGTTCTAATCATTAGGAAGTTTTTTTTTGGCCTAAATCTACCCCTTTTCAACTTTTATGCATTAGTCTTAGTTTCCCTCTGGGACCAAAGAGTCTAATGCTTCTTTTTATCTTTCAAGTACTCTCAAGTACTACTTTCAGCTATCACGTCCTCCCTTTCCAGCCTCCATTAGTCCCAGCTACACATCTTCAGTTCCTTCAGTCCATTGGTATATGGCACAGACTCGAAGACCTTCACTATTCTGTTGGCCTCTCCTGAGTACAGTAAAGCCTGTTCTTTCTAAAAATATGGTGTTCAGAACTCAGCAAAATATTCCAAATGTGGTCTGACCAGGGAAGAAGTCAGTAAGATCATCAGCTCCTTTTTCTTGTACACGCTGCCTTTCTTAATACAGTCCAAGTGGTCTTAGCTTTATGAACTACTATCTCACATTCTGACTCAATCAAGCTGGCTCACATTGTTGACTCAATCATCTTTTTTTCAGAAGAACTAACATGACTATTGGATCCTTGCTAGAAGAAAAAACTATTTATTTTATTAATTTCTATTAATTTTGGTATTTTATTAATATTATTTTATTTTATTAATATGGAAATACTTCCTTCAAAGCCAGGCAGAGTAGTTCATTCCTAGAGTCATATGTTTAGATACAATGGAAACAAACCAATGAATAGTACAGTGCCTGGCACACAGCAAGCACCTATTAAATGTTTGTTAACTGATTGATAAGCAATCATTTCTTGGGATAGTTTTAAAGTGCAAAAAAGTCCACAAGGCTTTGTACTTGATCACTCCATATATCTGATGTTTTTGAGGGAGCAAATCCAGCTCTGCTCTTTGAAATATTTTCACACATTACCACCAAATGCTTGCACCATCTGTACTGTCCTAGGTTAGGCACTGAGCCATAGCGCTATGGCTCTGTGCAATTATAGCTCAGCTTGCTGGAGATCCTTATCCCATGATGGGATTGGGTAGGTTACTAAAACCAACTATTTCCCATACATATTCAGAGACTACCAGGCAAGAAGTAAAGCATGCCAGAGATCAAGAAATCTTACAGGATCTCAGCTCTCATGTACTCTTTTTTTGAGGTGGACAAAGGAGAAAAGAGTCTAAGATACTTAAATATTTGTAAATAGGGAAGGACATTCAGGGAAGGACATGTTGAAAATAAGTCCAAAGAAGGATTTGTTTACTTCCCATAAGCAAATTAGGATCTGGGGTCTTGTGATATCCTATTCAAAGCTTTCTCATTGGGTCCACCTTAACACATGTGTGGATTTCTAATGCTAAGTCCAAAAAGACAGATGAAGGCTAAACTAGGGGTTGTTAATTTCAAATGATGTTAGAATCTGGATCCACTTACTAATGATAATCACAGCTTTGCCAAGAGGGCATTGTCTAACAGCTCAACACAGAGGGTGGACGTGGCAAGGATGGCATGAAGAGTAGGGCATTCTAGGTGGTGAAGTGGATAGAACATTGGACTTGCAGAGAGAAAAACCTGGATTCACATCTCCCCTATTAGACACTAGCTGAGAGTCCCATGATTTCTCTCAATCTGAGTTTCCTCATTTGTAAAATGGTGATAATAACAGCCTCTACTTCTGAGGATCAAATGAGATAATGTATGTAAAGCGTTTTGCAAATCTTAAGGCTCGTTTAAATACTAGCAATTATCATGATTATATCACTTTCATCTTTCAGCCCAATAGATCAGTTAGCATTATAGCTGATTCCTCCTACAAATGAAGACCTCCTAACTTGGCCTTTCTCCTATTCTCCAGACATAACAAGTAGACTAGTAAAAAGAATCATATCCCTAGTTAAAACATATTTTAAAATGTCTTAAGAATCAAGGAGGACCCACATGAGGCTAATGTTAATATATAGATGTGAATTTAATATATAATGTATGTGATAATGGTTACATAATACATATTTGTTAATTTATTCATCACAATATATGTCAGGATACATAAAGCATTGGATAACAAAATGAGGAGGAAAATACAAATGCCCCTGTAGCAGATGGTCATTGAATAAATGTCAGATCATAGGTTTCCAAACCCCTTCTCAGTACTTGGGTTGTATGAAATAAAAGCAAAGTGAAATTAAGAGTTGAGGTAAATATCAAATTGGGGGCCACCCCTCCCCTTAAGTCCTGCTTTTGAGGAAGGGGAAATGCCCTTTTAATCAAATTTATCAGGATGACTTGGTTTTACTGTTCTGAGCCACTGTCAAATTCTCCAACTCTTCACTCTGCCTATGTCAATGTGACCTTCAACTTTTTCCTTCATAGTAATAAGAGTCTTTAAAGTTGCCCATTTTCTTATCCAGACAGCTAGTTCCCATCCACTATCTCTACTTCTCTTTGTCAGGGGCTAGGTTGGAGGGCAAGGATAGTTTTGGAGAAGAAATGAGAAGCTTCAAGGAAGGAAGATGGATAGATACTCTTCAAGGAGCTCATTTAAATTGGTCATACATATTGGGGAATATATTGATAGTTTTTCAGCAAAAAAATCAAAGAATAAGTGGATTAACATTAAACAATAAAATTAAAATTAAATTTCTAAAGAGTTTTTTTATTTTGGATTTTTTTTCTCTTAAAATCTTATGCAGACTTTCATTCCATTTTAACAGCCTTATCTCAGATGGAACATTAGATATCTTGAGGATAAACCCCTCTGGCAGGACCCAGACATGCCTCCTGGGGAAGAAGGATGGGTTTACCACAAGCAGCTTCAGGGGGGATGGTTGAAGTGAAAGGTGAAAAGTGAAAGGCTCACTCTAGTTGTAACTACATGACAATCCCATTTAGAGGGTTATTGAGTTTCACTATGATCCCAAGCCATGAACCCTCAAAGAGTTAGCAGGCTCTTGGGGTTCAGACTCCTTGGGTCATGCATGGAAACTTCCCAACCTCCCCAGTCCAAGCTCATGCCTTCTCAGCTCACTCCAGACCAACAGGAATGAACACCTGGTCCCAGATATTCTCTATTGTAATCAGAGGTCTGCCCAGGGTTAAAATGTAGCTCCTATCTAGCCACTTTTCCATCATTCAGTGAACTGTGAAGGGTACTGATTAAGAAGCAAGTGCCTTCCAAACAATCTGAAATGTGGCAGTACTTGGGCTTTGTATAAATCAGGGTCTGATGGCTTGTTCAAAATTGTTTCCTAGCCATTAAGAGTACTTTTTTTTCTTGGTGATTTGTGGGAAGAACTTAGCATGCATCTTTGACTCCCTTTAATGGATGGTGGACGCATATTTCTGGCACACTTGTCCCTAGCTCACCCCTGTCTGCCAGGAAGGGTGAGGCCAAGTGCAGCTAGATAGAACATTTTTTTATGGAAGAAAGTTCTTTTCCTGAAACATTCTTGGCCAACAAGATGATCAAATGGCATATAAACTATGGCTCAATGATGAAATTAATGCTCTTTAAGATTCCTTTTAAAAAATGCTGCCTAGGCAGATTCAATATTTAGGAGGAGGAAGGGGAACACATCTGTCAGTCACATGGTCCTCATAGCACTGAGCAGAGGATGAAGCATAGAATGGAAGCCAAACTGATTGGATCAGAATGTGTCTGTTCCCCAGAAGCAGGCCAGCTCTGGTGCCTTGAAGCCGTAAGGCTTTGCTTAGCCTAAACTATGGGTGACATCACAATCCAGTCAGATTGCTTCAACATTGGCCCCATAATTAAATTAGTGGGAGATTCTGTGGGCATTTCAATTTTAATCAGAGTCATGGGAATGGATGGTCTTGCTTGTATGCATATGAGGTACAAGCTCTAATTTTATAGAACCCAACTCTAATTTTACAGAAATTCGAAAATGAAAGGTGCACAAATTGAGACATTTAGTTGGTATTATACTGAATGAGCTGGAATCAGGGAAACTTAACTTGGAGAAAACGAAAAATCACACTGTTTTCATGCATCACAGCTTGTCAACTGCCATCTTTATCTCAACCTCAATTTCGCATACAATGAACTTATTTTGGGTATATGCAGAGAGAGAAACTGCATAAAATCACTTTTCTCACCAAGTTTCAACTGTCCCTTCACACTCACAATGATCATGGAAGCTTATCTGTCCAGGATATGACTGAAGGGGAGAAAGAGGTCCCGAACTTTGTTTATAACTTCATTTAGCTCTTTTTTTTTACAGTGCCTGGGCTAAATTGCCTTGGCTTCTCTGAAAACGGACCCCTCACTTCAAAACATCTCCATCTGGGAGCTCAGTTGAGAGAGAGAGAGAGAGAGAGAGAGAGAGGGAGAGAGAGAGAGAGAACATGTTTCTATGTGTCTCCACTCAGCAATATGTCCATGCAGACTTACAGGAAACAAATGGGAACAACATAACCTGTATTTTACTTCACAATCGTTGTCCTGTTCCTCTGTCCCAGCCCTGCCTCTGTCCGTGTTCTGACCCAACTCAAACCCATAGCAAACTCAGACAGTAAAGGGTCTGGTTTCCTGACCTAGTCTTTATTTTTTTTGTCTCGGATGAGAAACATATTTCCCACTTCTGTTGACCCCTGTCTGCTTCCTCCACCATCCACAGCCTCACACAGCCCAAGCCCACTTACAGCCGCAGTTATATTTTTGCAAGGAAGGAAAATGGAAGCACCACAGTGCTCCCTTGTCATTAAGTCTCATACTTTCCCAGGCAATTTGCTCAAGGGAAAAGTGGGGAAAAGATGCAAGACTATTACATTTAAAAAAAATCTGGAATAAATATCCCAACTCCTCCTGTTCCCCATAAAAAGAAATTATTTTCATTGTGTTTCTATGGAAACCACTTGTAACAGGGATTTTTTGGTAAATACTCTTTTTGTCTGATTCTTTAAATAAAAGAGATTCTCAGATAAGTTTCTTCAGAGATTTAAAAGTACTTGGCTTTTTTTTTTTCCAATTTGAGTTCCAGCATTTTTTCTTGTTTATGGTCTTTTCTAGTTACTTCACCTATTAGGAGGATGTCTGTCTGACATTTAAAAACATTACCACATTTAATTTGGGGGTGTCTATTGAAAAGAGCTGGCTTTACAGGCTTGGAGACAAACATACTCTTAGCTCCTTGTCCTCCTGCTGATGCAGTTCAGAAAAAAAAAACTGGAGAAAATAGTTCTTACCCTTCACCCCGACAATTCTACTCCATCATCCTGAACCATCATCTATACTGAGGACACTCAAGTTCTGCCTGTGTGACCCCAAACACATACAAAAAGACTAAAAAGTCAGGTTCCAGGTAAGTTCAAATAGCAGAACATTTGGTATATTCTAGACAAAATACATGGATTTTTGGCTGAATTGTTTTTACACTTTTGTGGACATTTTGACACAATTAAAACCAGTCTCCAAGTCTCCTCAGTCTTTTTAAACCTTCAGGTTGCCAAAGAGGGTTCCACTTTCCCTGACCCCCATCATGAAGGCCTGAACCACATAGCCCAAGAAGTTGTCACATTTTTCCACTGTTTTTTTTTTCCTTCTGTGTTTGACGATTACTTTGGAAAATGTAGACTAATAAATCTACCTTGAGGTTTTCTTTTCCTGTGGTTGGTCTACACATACCCACTCAACAAATAATTGTCCAACCCTAAGCTTCACATTTTCATTGCAAATCTTTTTTTTTAAAGCCATTGAATAAAATCCTCATTGCCTGAGCTGTTGAAACAAAGAGTTGTCCAAATCATGACACCAGGGAAAGTGAGGGTTCATGGCAGGCACAGTTATCTAGACATAGAGTCATCCTTCACTGTGTCATGGATTGATTGTGTTTGAAGTGAGCACCTGACCAAGGATGATAGATTCATAGCATACATGAAGGAAACTGTGAGCAGTGACTTTTGACTATTCTACCTACCTCATCCCCCTCCACCTTGACATTTGCTAGATGTGAAGCAATGGCTCATCAGGAGAGATGAAGTATCCTGTGAAAACTCCCCATGGGTGTGGATTAGCATTAGGGTTAGCTTTGCCTTAAAGCATAGGGTGATATTGGGACAATCCTTCCATTATTCTTAAGAAACAACTGAATAAAACAGTAATAATCTTATGGAAATAGAGGACTGACATACAAAAACAAACCGAAAAAAGGGATGGGAAAGGGGAAATAGATTACTGAAACTAAACAATTTATTCTTTCTGCTTTAAGTACGACATATATTTTATTCCTCCTGCTAGCATAAGAATCCTTCTTCTTTGAGTGAAATTCATCATCAAAACCTCAATTGCATTGATAAGTTTGTTCAAACATGCAATTTAAATATTCTAAGACTTCCAGATTCATTTCTGTGTCACAACAATTTGAAGAAAAATGATTTTGGCACATCTTCTACAGGGGAAAGAAATAGAACGAGGTCGCTTACCATACTAAAATAGACAAGAATACAAACATACCACAAAATACCTTGGTACCATGAGTTAAAAGCTATATTAGGCATCTTGGGGGCATGTATGACTACTGTGATTATGAGTTCATTAGTGCTGATAGCAGAAACTGGGGAAAGAACTTCGGTTGCTAAAAGACCACATTGTTTTGGAAAATACTAACTACTCCATCTCTCTCTAGCTCTAGTAATAGTCACAGTAACTTTTCCCAAAAAAATAAGAGTGGTTCAAAGATAATACCATTTCTTACTAATTAACTATAATGGTATCGGGGAGTAGGTACATATGCTAGGTAGGTCTACATATTTTATAGTTTTTAGATACTTATTCCCTTTTTCTAGGTATAGAGCAATTAATCAACCAAGGTGGGTTAAGTATTCTGTGAAAATGTTCAATTTGGGGTGTATGTGTGACTGGGAAGGAAGAAGGTACTTGGGATCTTTATCTTTTTCTAAAGAATAAAATACTATTATCACTGTCTTCATTTGTTCAAGGTGTCAAGAATGGTTAGAATGAGGGCTGGGCACCCCAAGGACTAGGCCATGGAATAATTGTTACACAGACCATTTCCCATTTCTCCCCATCTATACTGTTTCTCATTTCATTAGATCACAAGTTGGTTCTTCGTTCTGCCACAGCCATCCCCTTAACAAAGAGATTGAATAGAAGTGGATTTTATTTTGCACAACTTGGTGTTTGAGGTTTTAGAAATTTTAGTTTTCTGATATATGGAAAGCAATTTGAAAAATCATCTTTTGAGTCAAGACCCTAGACTAAAAAAAGACCATATCGTCACTATTGTACTGATGTTTGTACAGTATAATCTAGTGTTTTCTTTGCAAGGGAAGATGCCTCTAGAACTGTTAGACTGTTTTTATATGGACATAAATGATTGATGATAGTATTTTTAACTTTCAGCCTACATGAAAATGCTGAAGGAACATCCAAAATTTTAGAGTATCTTTAAAAAAAATATAAACCCATCATTTCATCTAGCAAGAGATCTTCTTTATGAATACAGATCAGCACTTGTTCAGGAATTTATAACCTAAGAAAGTTGCTTGGCCCTCTTCAAAGTTAAGTGACTTTGTCATGTGTGTTTGAAGGAGGTCTTGAACCCTGGTCTTCAAGATTCCAAGACTGGCTCTCTAGCCAGTGCTCCATACTGTCTTTCAATAACTTAAATAGTATCTATTTAAGGAAATAAATAGTGGGCTACTTCACAAGATCTCTGCCTCTTCCTGGATATACATGATGGTTCAGAAATGCCTGAAGAAGTAATGGCATTCATTCTGACATTTTTGTTCCCTCTGGGTCACAGCAACAACAAAAAATCTATTTGAGTACCCCTTAACTGGCTTTATATAATTAGGCTTGTTGTCAGCCCAGTTTGCAATATTTGGTTGCTTTATCTAAACTGGATTTGCCCACATCCTTCATTACAGTTGATTCTCCTCATCTCCCCTTGCTTTCGTTCTGACATGGAGAACCTTTCAGTACATTGCATGACTGATCTGAGTAGATGATGAGGCTCTATGTCCTATTCACACAAGAAGAGGAGAAGAGACTGGATGACCAGCCTCAAGAATATAGTGGAAAGGATCATCATTCAGGTCTGCACTGGACTGGACAGTCCTTGTGGTTGCCTTCTAATTCTGAGATTCTGAGGTTTAATGACTTTCTGAGAGGGAACACGGGTCAGACTTGAGTATATCCAAAACAATGTGGGGGAAAATATCTTAGCAACACCACTTGGATGTTTTCAGGTTGGGTAATCTTCAGGGTAGGTCTGCTATGGAAAACTTTGTAGGTTACTGGAAAGAAAGAGTTACTGGGGGGAAAAGACTCCCAAGATGCCTTTCACATTGCTACTTGATCAGTTCCTGATAAAACTCCGACCGGATGAATCTTGGCAGGGAATCCTTCTCCATTAGGGCGTGGATCCTCTTTTGGGCCATGTCAAAGCTACTTGCTGAGGGTTCCACCAGGTTCTTCATAGTCACGGCCTTAGTGAAATGGTCGATATTCACCTGAAGAGAAGAACACAGGGAGGGAAACTTCAATCTTCACAACTTGTCTGGAGAGGAAAGTATCTCAAGAGTCATCCTCCATTCATGACTCTCCCTACCCATCAGTTGCCTAAACTCATTGATTTTTATCTCCCCAACCTTTTTTTCTTTCAACTGTCCCTTTTTATTCACTGACATGGCTACTACCCCAGTACAGGGTCTCTCCATACCTTGCCTGGACCACTGCAACAATTTCCTGATTTTTCTCCCTGTTTCTTGTATCCCATCTATCCTGGCAAACTGATATTCCAACCATGCTACTGCACTGTTCAAGAAGCCTTAGGGAATCTCTGTTGCCTTTACAGAGCCATAATAACTAATACTAAGTCTCCAGGGTTAACAGATGTTTCATCCAATGTAAGGGCTTTGGAATGAGGATAAAACACAACTCATCTGTTTGGTATGCAATGCCCATCAGAGTCTGGTTCCAATCTATTTTTTTTTTCAGACTTGTTCCACTTATTCCACATAATTTCTTCTCATGCATTCTAAGTTCCAGCCAAACTGCCCTACTTGCTGTCTCCTCTCCTACTTGAGAGCATTTGCACAGGCTTTCTATCTATCCTCCATGCCTAGAATATTCTGCCTTCTTCCCTTTTACCTTTTGGAATTCTTAATGCCCTTAAGGCTCATCTCAGGTGCTTTCTCCTACATGAAGCATTTCTTGATTCTCTCTCAGCCCTGCCCTTATTAGTATTCTGTGACCTCTCCAATTACTTTGCTTTGAGTTTGCATATACTTTGAATTTATTTATCTGTGTTTTGAATACTGTGCATTTAATAATAGCTAATATTTAATATTAATAATAATAGCTCTATCTGCTGTGCCACCTAACTGTCTCTAATTTACTTACATGTTGTACTCCTCTATTAGAATCTAAGATCCCTGATGACTGGGGCTATTTTGTTCTCATCTTTGTATACCAAGCCTAGAACAGTACTTGGCACATAGTAGGTATTAATTTAATAAATGCTTGATGAGGGGGCAGCTAGGTGACGCAATGGATAGAGCACCAGCCCTGGAGTCAGGAGGGAGGACCAGAGTTCAAATCTGGCCTCAGACACATAACACTCACTAGCTGTGTGACTCTGGGCAAGTCATTTAACTCCAATTGCCTCACCCCCCAAAAAATGCTTGATGAATTGAAAGAATTTGGAGTCAGAACTGAATGTGAAAGCTCTGATATTTACTAGCTGCATCTTTTCTTTCATCCAAAAAAAAGGATGGGAATAAAACTGATTGTACCACTAGAGATGGTCTGGTCTTCTTGGCATTGAGGGTCACTCTCTATCCACTATGCCATGTTATGTCTTCTAAAAAGTTTATTAGGCCAGTTCCAAAATAAAGAAAATAAAATATCTGCTGGTTATCCTGAACTGGAACACTAGGGAGTGCTGTAGGTCATGTGTGTGCTGCTCATGACTTCCCATGGGCTAAAGCCCAGGAGTCATAAAGTAGGAGACAGCTCAAAAAATAACAGAAAGGCTTCAGAGCTGTCAGACCAGGGCAGAATAAGTTACTGCCTGCACAGAAAAGGAGAATTAGACTTAGGAAGCCAGGATTAAGCAGCAAAGTGTACAGTAAAAGATGGACCTTCCACCCCCTTTAGCACAGCCAAGTTCACGTGTAACCTCAATATGGTACATACGTCCTCAGTGGTCCTCAATAAATATTTGTTAAATTGAATTGGATAATTGAGCTGGTCTCTAAGGTCAAGTCTAGGTCTTAACATTCTATAGTTTTGAAGTGTACGGTATCTTCTTTGATATTAGAAGAATAAATGATCAAGCAGACACTTACTAGCTATGTGACTCTGGGAAAGTCACTTTACTTATGTCAGCCTCAGTTTTCTCATCCGTGAAATGGAAATAATGATAGCACACACCACATATTATTGTTATGAGGACCAAATCAGAAAACACATTTATTTGTATTATGTACTTTGCAAACCTTAAAACAAAATATATAAATGTTAACTATGATCATTACTATTACCAGTCTTAGCAGACAATCCCCTACACTCGTGTTCAACTTACCAAAGATTCTTAAATACCTACTCTATTGTGTGCAGAATACTGTGCTGGATTCTAGAAAAGACAAACTTTCATATAAGATAGAATAACCTTACCCTGTGGAGATTATAGTCTAGCAGGATGACAAGGCACACCAATAACCACAGCACAAACTAATACACATTAAGTGCATTACAGAGGCATAGAACAAAGGACTATTTGAAACTGAACCAAGAAGGTTGACAGAGGAAATCGAAGAAGTCTACATGAAAGGGAAGGCATTTGAGTTGTGCTTTTAACTATCTTGTATTTAACAACTTTGTCATATGAACAAATATAGATGCATGCATTTATTCACTTTAAAGGGGGAAGCTAAGGGGCACGGTGGATAGAATGCTGGGTCTGGAGTCAGGAGAACCTTAGTTTCCATCTAGCCTCAGACACTTCCTAGCTGTGTGACCCTGAGTAAGTCATTAACCCTGTTTGCCTCAGTTTTCTCATCTGTCAAATGAACTGGAGGAGGAAATGGCAAACCACTCTGGTATATCTGCCAAGAAAACTACAAGTGGGGTTACAAGGAATCAGGCAGGACTGAACAACAAGAACAAATTGATCTACTTTATACTTAAGTTTTATGTATTTGTATATGTACTTGGCTTCCCCATGAGAATGCAAATAGGGAACTTGAATCCCTCAGCCCAGCCCAAGTGCCTGACACTAGGTGCTTAATAAATGCTTGTGGGCTGTTTGAGGGATTGATTAAGAGCTCTTGAGGAATGGCCAGGGTGGGTTGGGGAGATACAAAGTAATCTAGATTGACTGGAATACAGAATGCATGGAAGGGCTAATGAGAGGAAGCTGAAAAGGTAGCATTCCTGTGGATGGTGGAGGGCCTCAATTACCCTCTAAAGATGCTTGAACTATATTAAGTTTGGAAAAGGGAAAAATGGCATGAGCAGAGATAAGGAGGCATAACGGGGCACCAGCACCCAAAAGACTGGAAGGCCAGCAGACCTGTTAGAAGGCTATTGAAACAGGGTAGGAGGGAATCGATGGAGGCATGTCTTAGGATGGTATCCATGGGAAGAGTATTTTAAATGTAACTGTAAAACAATGTCTTAATTACATATGAGCACCTTGATCAGCCCCCACATTCCAGCCTTTTCTGATGTATGGCTTCTCTCACATGACCCTTGGACCAAACAAAACATCTGCAGACCCTGGAGACTCATCAGGACTGACGTTAGATATTCTAGTTCTAGGAAAACATTGACTTCCCAGTCCCCTGTGCAAACACAGGGGCATCTTAGGCGATGATGCTATAAAATCCTGGCTGCTTTAGCCCATAGAACAAAGTACCATCAGAAATATGACACCAGAGAAGGGGTCCATGGACCAAGCAACTCCTTGGTGACCTACTACCAGCAGTTCCGAATTATCTTGCAACTAGGTGGTGCAGTGGATAGACCCAGTGTTGGCCTGGGAGGTCAGGAAGACCTAGATTTGAATCCTGCCTCAGATAGCTCCTATCTGGGTGAACCTAGCCAAGTTACTTGGCTTCTCACTCTCGGTTTTCCCCTCTATAAAATAGAAATAATACTAGCATCTATCTCTCATGATTGCTGCAACATACATAAAGCTCTCTGCAAACCTTAAAGTACTATATAAATTTTTTTTAAAATGTCAGCCACCTGTACCAATGGAAGGCAATTTGAAACAAGCAGGCAATTCCCCTAATCTTATGTTTAGGGCTTAGATTGTATTATTTGATTTATGAGCATAGTAGAATGATCAACAAGCATGGACTTTCTGTGCTCCTGTCCTAGTCACTAGAGTCATAAAGACGAAAAGAAGACATTCCTTTACCTGGAGAAGTTACATTCTATCAGGGGAGACAATAAAAAAGGGAAGGGGGAAGGGAATTAATAGTGGAGACCCAGAAGAAGTCCTCTAGAAGCTGTTAATTGAGCAGAGTTTTGAAAAAGAACCAAAGGATTCTAAGAGGTCGATATGGAGTGGAAATGTGTTGCAGATGGAACAGCTAATTCAAAGGCAAAGGCAAAGGCAAAGGCAAAGTCAGATGGGGAAAGAAAGGGAAAGGAACAAGCATCTATTATGTGCTAGTCACAGTGCTGGGCTTTTTTGTTTGTTTGTTTACAAATGTTATCTCTATTGTTATCCCCATTTTACAGATAAGGAAACTGAGGCAGAAATATAGTAGCCAAAGGATCATGGGTGGTCATCAAGACCAGTTGAGCTTCCTAACTGTGGAATTCCTAATCATCTCTCTAGGCCTCAGTTTCTTCATATGTAAAAGAGAAGTTTTGCATTAGGCAATCTCTAAGGTCCCTTTCTCCCTCTGAATGTTATGATCCCATACCAACAAATTACCCACACTCTGCAGTCCTCAAGGGCACAAGGAGGGAAAGTGCTTAAGAGAGATCAAGCTCTGCAGGCCCAGCACTGACTACCTAAGAGGTGATGCTATGACACTGAACAGTCCCCATGTAGCAGCTCTGTTCTTCTTTTACAGATCCTCACTTTCTGCTGCATTGTATGTAGAGCAGAAGAAGACCAGACTGCAGTGCTGACTGATGGAAAGAACCACTGGACAACAGCATCATTCACCAAGAATTCCTGCCTTATTCTGTTCACTTGCTTTGAATCTCGTCCAATTTACCTCTTCCTAAATACCCTCCTCCCTTCCTACCCTTACTCCAATGTTCAATGCTCAAACCTCTCCTTCCCACTATAACTTCCAAAACTTCTCAATGCTTTCGTGCCTGCCCTGGAGCTGGTCCATCCCAATAATGCTCATCCATTTGCCAGGTTAAACCAACCTCTTTAGGAGCCTCAGTTCGGATGAATTCTTCATAAATTTTCTTTGCCTTCTCAGCCATCTTGATGGGTGACTTGGTCTTCTTATAATCCTCACAAGCAATCCAGAACTCAATGTTCTCCTCACTGAACTCAGACTTCAGGAAACTCTTGAAGCTGGCAAGTCCATCTAGCCAGGGGGAAGACAAATAGAAAAGATGAGATGCTATTGGGTCTATCCTTGAGGAATTTTCTGGATTTGTGGTCAGAGAGTCAAACAGAGGACTGGAACCCTTTATTTCTGACTTTTCTCTGAAGCTCAGAACTTGGGCATCAAGGGATAGAGGGATAGCACACCTTTATATACTAAAGAGGGACAGGAAGTAAAGAGAAGAGAGAATGACAAGTCAGCTAATAAATATCTATGAAGGGTCACTATGGATCAGGCACCAAGCTAAGCATTAGAGAGACAAAGAAAGGTAAAAGACAGTTCTGCTGTCAAGGATCTCACAGTCCAATGGGGGAGACAACATGTAAACAACTGTGTACAAACAAGCTACATACAGGGATAAATTAGAAACTAATACACAGGGAAGGAACTGACTGCTGGTGGTGGTCAGGCTTCCTGTTGAAAGTGGGATTTGAGTGGGACTCAGAGGAAGCCAAGAGGCAGAGATGAAGAGGGATAGCACATAGGAGACAAACAGAGAAAACATCCAGAGTTGGTCAAGGAATGTCTTGTGTGAAGGTAACAAGGAGGCCATTGTTACTGGATCACAGAGTCCATGGTGAGGGTGGTGGTTAAAGTATAAGAACACTGAAAAGTTAAGGGGACAGGTTTTAAAAGGCTTTGAATGCTAAACTGAGGATTTTATGTTTGATCCTGGAGGTGATATTGGCGAGGGGCAGGGGAGGACTGCCTCTGGAATTTATTGAGTAGAGGGGTAACATGATTAGACATGTGCTTTAGGAAGATCACTTTGACAGCTAGGTGGAAGCTGAAATGAAGTTAGGTCAGTCTGTAGCAGACAGACCAACCAGTGGGTTATTACAATCATTGGAACATGAGGTACTGAGAGCCTGCCCAGAGTAGTGGCCATGGCATAGGAGGGAAGGGGGTGTATTGGAACTATGTTAGAAAGGTAAAATTGACAGACCTTGGCAACAGGTTGGGTATGGGAAGGGAGTGGGAGGAAGCAATGAGTCATGGATAACACCTGAGAGGATAGTGACACCCTCAACAGTAATAGAGAACTTAGGAAAAGGAGAGAGTTTAGGAAGAAAGAGAATGAATTCAATTTTGGACATGTTGAACTTAAGATGTCTGTGTAATATCCGGGTTGAAATATCTGCAAGGCAGTTGGAGATTTGAGACTAGAGGTTCAGTAGAAAGGTTAGGGCTGAATAAATAGATTTGAGAATGATCAGCATAAAGATGATAATTGAATCCATGGGAGCTGATGATATTACCAAGTAGAAAAGAATCAAGAAAGAAGAGAAGTGAGCCCAGGATGGGACCTTGTGAGATACCCACTGTTACCAGGAGTACCCTAGATGAAGATCCCGCAAAGGAGACTGAGCAGTGGTCAGATGAGTAAGAAGAGAACCAGGAAGAAATGGTATCACAAAAACCTAGAGAGAAGAGAATGTCAAGAAGATGAGGGTGATTGACAGTGTCAAAGGTTGCAGAGTGGTCAAGAAGGATAAGGCTTGAGAAAAGTCATCAGATTTGGCCATTAAGTGATCATTGATAACCTTGTGGAGAGGAGTTTCAGCTGAATAATGAAGTCAGAAGTCAGATTGTAGAAAGTTAAGACAAGTGATAAATATGTCCTCTCTACTCTTTGGCCCATGCTGCTTGGTGTCTGAATGTTCTACCCCCAAGCCCCCCGTTACAGTGGGAGCTCCTTGAGGGCAATCATTGAGTAATTCTTTGTACTTGTATCCCCAGTTCCTAGCACAGTTGCTGACACAAAGTAGGCACTTAATAAATGTCTGTGAATGTATCAAAGAGTGATCAACAAATATTCATTTTACAGTTTAATATAAATATTGCAAAGTGCTGGGACCAATGGAACTTATTAGAAACTTATTCTCAGAAAGCATCAGGGGTGGAAGAGATTGTGTTTAGTGTGCTCACTGGTCACCAGCTTCCCCCATCTCAGATTCCCAACCCTAGAACCTACCAAGACTGAGTGGTCCCACCCAACTTATGACCTTCCTATACTGCATTCATGCATCATCAGGACCTGTTTCATTTTCGTCTGTATGTCCCCAGTTCCTAGTAGTATTTTGTAGACAACAGGTGCTTGATAAATATTTGTCAGATTGAATCAGATGTCTTCTGCTTTTTATGTAGCATGATTGTCTCTTCACAACTTAAAAACATCTATAGAGCACAATGTCCATGAGTTTCAGCCTCTTTTCCTCTTCCCTACCTCTCCATTACTAAGTCACAAAGTAGTGAGAGGAATGGACTCTCATACGAAGAAAAGAAGGAAATGCAAATTCAGGCTTTCTCAAGCACATTTGTAGGTATTTATCCATGACAGTGAACATATGAACATGATAGACAATGGGGAAAAATACCAAAAGAAGAAAGAACATTCCAATTTTCCATGAGTTCAACTCAAATGATATTATTAAAAACTTTCCATTAAAATTAAAAGTTCTAAAATTAAATTAAAATGAAAAGCTTTCGAATATCACTTTGCCTCCAGAGTGGGGAACCCAAGGAAAAACCTCAGGTCCATATTTATAAATACTTCCTAAGGGTAGGATTTTAGCTGACTTTTCTCACTCCTAGGTGCTCTCCCAAAGTCCATTAACCTCGCTTAGCAAATGCATCCTGAATCCTTTTATTTAATCTCTTTCCATTTCCCTCTCCCATTTAAGAATTCTTTACTTCCTCCCAATATGTGTCCATGTCTATCAGATTTCCCTTCTTTCTCTAGTCTAAATACAATGCCCTGTGTACAGCAGGCCTTCCAAAAATGGCGTGGATGACCAAGTAAAATGAGACTTATTGGGCCCTTTTTCTTATGTCTTTTTTTCACTTATCTCAGCCCATTTTACAGTCTTCCAAAATGTCATTCAAAATTAGAGAAATGGTGGAGGGAAGGATCAGCTTCCTGAGATCCATCTCTTGGGAATGATATGCCCCAGGAAAGTCACAGTATGCTTTGCTCACCCATCACTATTTTTATCCACATGAAATCAGGTTAAATTTAACATTACAGGGAGCTTTGAAGGAAAAAAAGAAATCACAAACATCCATCTTGAGGATGGGCATAGTATCAAGTAGAGGGCAGCTCATTCCTTTGCCTTAGTGATGAGGAAGAAGAAGGGGAAAAGAGTTTGTATGCATATCTACATCAGGTTATTTTCAGTACTAGCTGGGATGGGAGAGCTCTCTTCCTTTCCCTTTGAGAACCAGTTCTACTTTTCTTCAGAAAGTCTTGGTACTGTAGTACCAGCATTCCTATGACCAAAAAACAGCTCTGGCCCATTTAAGTCTCTTCTAGAGTCTACAGATTTATTTATTTTTTTTTTTACATCTTTTCATTGATCAGGGCTGAAAGGAGTTCTTTTGTTCTTGTCTGTGAGATATGAATGTGAATCAATTTTGTGTTTGTATCTTCATGACTTTTTTCTTATTTAATATTTTATTTTTCCCAATTACATGTAAAAACAATTTAAACATTTAAAAAATTAAGTTCCAAATTCTGTCCCTCCACTCCCTACTGAGAAATCAAGCAATTTGACATAGGTTAAACATGTGTAGTCATGCAAAACACATTTCCATATAAGTCATTCTGTGAAAGGAAACACAAACAAAAAAGAAAAATAAAGAAAGTAAAGAAAAATCATCTTTGATCTCCATTCAGGCACTACCAGTTCTTTCTCTGGAGATGGATAGCACCTTTCATTATTAGTCCTACAGAACTGCCTTGGATCATTGTATTGCTGAGAATAGCTAAGTTATTCATAATAAATAATTATACAAAATTGTTGTTACTGTATACAATGTTCTCCTGGTTCTGCTCACTTCATTTTGCATCAATTCATGTAAGTCTTTTCACATTTTTCTGAGAGCATCCTGCTCTTTATTTCTTAAAGCACAATCATATTCCATCACAACCACATACAACAACTTGTTTAGTCATTTCCCAATTGATGAGCACCCCCTCAATTTCCAATTCTTTGCCACCATTAAAAGAACTGCTATAAATATTTTTGTATGCATACGTCCTTTTCCTTTTTGTTTTTGTTTTTTTTTTCTGTATCTTTGGGATATAGGCCTAGCAATGGTATTGCTTGGTCAAAAGGTATGCATGGTTTTATAGCCCATTGAGAATAGTTACAAACAGCTCTCCAGAATTGTTGAATCAGGATATGACTTCACCAATAGAGCAGGAGTGCTTTAATTTTCCTGCATACCCTCCAACATTTGTCATTTTCCTTGTTTGTCATATTAACCAATCTGACAAGTCATAGCTCAGAGTTGTTTGAATTTGCATTTCTCTCATCAATAGTGATTTAGAGTATGTTTTCGTATGACTATAGATAGTTTTGATTACTTTGTCTGAAAACTGCTTGTTCATACCCTTTGACCGTCTATCAATTGAGGAATGGTTCTTGTCTGTGTAAATTTGACTCAGTTTTCTATATGTTTGAGAAATGAAGTCTTTATCAGAGAAACTTACTGTAATTTTTTTACAGTAATGATTACCAACCATGTATTTCCCTCCATCCTATTTCCACCCATTTATCCTACTCCCACTCTCATTTTACCTGTCAATTCTCAAAAGTGTTTTGCTTCTGACTTTTACCAGCCCTCTCTTCTATCAGCTCTCCTCCACCCTTCTCTTATCCTCTTCCCTTCCTACTTTCCTGTATAGTAAAATAGATTTCTACACCCAACTGAGTGTGTATATCATTCCCTCTTTGAGCCAATTTTGATGAAAGTTCAGGTGCTCCCTTTCCCATTTCCCCCATTTTCCCCTCCACTGTTAAATCTCTTTCAGGCCTCTTTTATGCTAGATAATTTATTCCATTCTATCTCTCCCTTTCCCCTTCTCCCAGTGCATACTTCTTTCTCATCCCTTAATTTTATTTTTTAAGATAATTGTACCATCACATTCAATTGGCTCCTCTGCTTTTTGTCTATATACACTCCTTCTCACTGCC